CCTTGCCCACCCACAGGCCCTCTCCCTCTCCTTCCCTGCCTTTCGGGGGTGAAGCTTAATCTAGATCCTTCCCTCCCTGCCTCCAGCACAAACTACCCCAGCAGAGAGGGCAAGGAGGGCCCTGGAACCAGATCTGCAGGGCCGACTCCATCCCCCACACCTAGAACTGGAGACCAGAGAAAATGTCTGGGAGGAACCTAAGTAAATTCTCTACCCAATGAACCTTGAAAACAATACCCCAGGTTTGTTTGTTTTGTTTTAATATGGTACTGGGAATTGAACTCAGGGATGCTCTACCATATCTCCAGTCCTTTTTATTTTTTTATTTTGAGAAAGTGTCTCCGGCTAAATTGCTTAAGGCTTTGCTAAATGGCTCTGGCTGGCCTTGAACTTGCAATCCTCCTGTCTCAGCCTCCAGGGCTGAGATTACAGGCAGGTGTCACCAGGCTGGGCTCCCAATGCACTTTCAAAAGCTCAAAGGGGAATGTGCTCCCCTTCTTGCTCCCCACACCTAACCCCCTTTAAACTCCTCCAACAGAAGTGTGTGTCACACACCACCCACCAAGCCCTCCCCCATGGGCTCAGTTCCTACCACCTGCCAGAGACAAGGGGGCAGAGGGGTAAGATCTTGGCCCCTGCTCCACCACCCCCATTTCCTCAAGGAACCATCCATCTCCTTTCCAGGTTGGAATTAGCATTTTTATCTCTGCAACTGCCATCTCTCAACTATTTACAGAAGCCACCAGGATAAAAGAGGCAACATAAAAATAGCGGCTTCCAGGATGGGGTGGGGGTGGGGGCACCACAGAATCTTCTAAGTTTCTTTCTCTCCTTGTCCAAAGGGAAAAGAGGTTCTTTTTTTTCCAAAGGGCTCTCCAACAATTCACAGACCACTAACCTGGAAGCTCCTTGGGGACAGGGACCAAGTCCCAGTATGCCTCAGTTCCCCAGGGCAGAATTTGGTCACCAGACCCCCCAAATAGAGGCAATTGACTGAATGATCATGGATCATCATCAAGGTTCCAGAGCCAGGGCTACAGAGAGGCAGCACCCTGCCCTGCCCTGCCTGCCCCTGTCACTTCCTGGGCTCTGTTTAGTCTTGCAAAATATAAGCCACTCCAAAAAACCAACCCAAACAAAACTCTGGCTTTTTTTCACTGCTTAAAATGTTTCGTAATTGGGAAAAAAAAAAAATCAGCAACAACAAACATGACTAAAACCAAAAACAGTGGTGGCTAAGATGATCCCTTCCCCATTTTGATCACTGACATCCAGGCAGGGAACCAGGGGCCTGAGGGCTTCCCAAGTCTCAGCGCTAGCCTCAGTTTAAAGAAGGCTTTTTGGGCTGGGATTGTGGCTCAGCGGTAGAGCGCGCATCTACCACAGGCGCGACCAGGATTCAATTCTCAGCACCACATAAAAATAAAGGCATTGTGTTGTGTCCATCTAAAAAAAAAAAGGATTTTTGTCATTATCGAGGCCCATCAGGGAGGAAAGAAAAATAATAATCTAAAACCTTATTTTTTTGAAAAAAAAAATTATTTATATATATATAACAAAATGATGTAAAGATGGTCCCCATGCTTACCTCCTGGCTCCACCCGAGAGAAAAAGACATGATCTACCAGCATAAGAAGCCCAGGCAGCCTAAGAGCTCAGGATGGGAAGAGGTGTCAGCAAATTACACAGATCCCGGGGGACCTTGCGCCCGTAGAGTAGCCCTTCTCTAGGAAAGTGCCCAGCACACAGAGACCACCACGCAAAGCCACGGTCCCCCTTCTCTCTGGGACCCCTTCCCATCTTCACAGAAGGCCCGAGGAGCAGCCTGGCCTCCATGGTGTGGTCCTGGGGCTTCCATGGTGTGCCTCCCAGCACCACCACCTGGGAAGACCCAGGACACTCCACACCTGGCCACAGCTCCTGGCACTGGCCATCTGGTGAGGTTACTTCTCTGGAAGAAGTCTCACGAAATACAGACCCACAAAATCACTGAAGGAATCACCAGGATGGAGTGAAATCTGAGTGTCCTGAGAAGGCGCACCTGAGGACTCAGGGGGCCGTGGGCTGGAGGGGGCTGGGTTCTCATGGACAGTCACCAAGTACAAGAAGTTATATGATCCACTGTGTGAAAAATCCAGAACAACCAAATCCTAGAGACAGAACGTGGGTCGGTGGGGGCTGGGGCAGGGGCACTGGGAACAGGGAGGGACTGCTCTACAGTACAGGGTTTCCTTTGGGGATGATGAAAATGTTCTGAAACTACACAGGTTGAGTGTCTTAAAGTGCCACTTGATTGTTCACTTTAAAATGGTTAAATTTATGCTACAGGAATTTTTCCTCGTTACTTTTAAAAGAGCCGGGGATGTAGGTCAGTGGAAAGAGCGTGGCTTAATGGGAGTGAGGCCCTGGGTCCAATGCCCGGGGGAGGGGGAGGAGAGGGGGGAGGGGGAGATGCCATTTCCCAACTTCCAAGAAAACCATGGGGTGAAGGTCACTGCAGCGCTGAGCTGCCCCCTGAAACCACCTCCAGCTTCTCTAACCCGCCCGAAGGGGAGCAGCCACGGAAGGAAAAACATCCAAGGAAAAGAGGCTCTGACTCAAAGGAAAATCTGAAATAGCATTTGCCCTAAATCCCCTGGATGGCGAGAGGAAATGAGATCCACATGCTTCCCCCAGTCACCAGGAGGAGGCGTGTTGGGAGGGAAGAGGGTGGCAGGTGACCCTGAGCAAGTGACTCAGCCTCTCTGAACAGGGTGACTATAGGGCCCATGTTAAAATTTGAGCTAAAATGCCATGAACTCAGGCTTGCCTGCCCCACCCGGCGCGGCTGTTCCCATTGCAAGTTGCCTGGGCAGCTCCTTCCTCATCCAGGCTGAGGTCCCCAAGTTCTACTCTGAACCAATCTCCACTTTCCAGTCCATTCTTCCAGATTCAGTACACATGACACCTTCTTCAGGGAGCCTGCCCAGATTCACACCCAAAAGAAGAAATTTCTCCAGGACTCCCAGGGCCCCTGCTCAGCCCAGTCCCCCAGTACTTCTTGTTTGTGGTTTCTCAACCATGGAGTTACTGCCATTTAGAGCTGGGGCACTGATCTGCTTAGGGGACAGTTGGAATYCCCACTTCCTGCCTACCAAAAGCCAGGAGTGCTTGGCAACATTCTGACAACCAGAGGTCGCCCCCACACTCCCAGATGCTCACCAGGAGGGTGGCACCACTCCCCTGATGAGAACTACTGCATAGTTATTAGCGAATATATTTGGCTACCGGCCCACTAACAACCTGGAGGCAAAGACAAGCCTGAGGCCACAGGTATCACCACAGGACCTGCTTAGATCTGGGTCCTCACCTGCTGCTTGGTAAACAAGTCTGGCCTACTCACATCCAGGAAGTCTTGTAAAAGACTCTGCTCTAGAATAGGTGGTAATCTTGATATACCTGCATTGGCTGTGTGACCCTGGGAAAGTTAATTAACCTCTCTTTGTAAGCTTCAATTTACTCATCTCTACAATGGGAATAAAAATCCCTGCCTTGAAGGATTTGGGTAGTCAATACATGAGATAATGCAGGCAGCATGTAGCATAGGATCTCGCACACAGCAAGAACTCAGTAAATGTTAATTATCAGGAGTGAGCGTGTAGCTTGGTTGTACAGTGCAAGTTCAGTTTGCTTCAACCCCTGGGTTCAATCCCCGGCACTGAGAGAAAAAGTTATTAACATTATTATTATCCTAGGTGGGGGCTCACCAAATGAAGTTATTAATCTGGAAGGAGGGTCTGGGATTCACCCGAAAGCTGTTTATATGGTATGCATTCTATTCATTCTGAAATTGCAGGTTTTGGTTTTAATTTGTGGTGTCAGGGATAGAACTCAGGGCCTCCTGCATGCTAGGCAAGCACTCTACCACTGAGCCACATCTCCAGCCCCTGCCCCTTTCAAGGAACAAAGGAGCTTCAGGGACAGACACCTTCCCCCTCTTCTCAGGGGACACAGCCAGGGGAGGAAGAGTAATGGAAGCACAGACCCAGGGCACCTGAAGTTTCTGCTCTAGGACTAGGGGGCCAGGCCGAAGAAGGCAAAAGTTGTCTGTAGGCAGTTGAGCACTGCTTGTCCCATTCCAGGCCAGTCTGCCCCTCATGACATGCCCCTACCCAGGCTCCATCCAGGAGGGGCCCAGGTGCCACATCTCAGCACCAAGTGAGTGCAGCCACAGCTGTGAAAACACCCCACTCCCCAAACCCGGCAGGCAGCGGGTGGGGAAAGCCAGAAAAAGCTGCACCCGGGTCACTGAGACCCAGTGCAGAGCCCGGCTGGGCCCGGTGCCCCGGACCAGGAGGGTGCCGGGGTGGGCGCTTCTCCGCATTCACAGTACGCTGCAGCTCGGAGGTAAATTTAGGTCAAAAGGACCAATTCGGCCCGTGAGGTACCGGCTGGGATGGGGATGGTCAAAGAGCGCACTGAAGAGCAGCAAAGGTCCCCCGGGACCCCACCACAGCTGGTCTCTGGTTCTGCCACCTGGCGCCCAAGTCACCAGGGCCTGGGTTGCCCACGAGACCTGTGAGACCTGCGGGCTGCGGGGGTGGGGATGCTGCAGGTCCGCTGGCCCCCTCCCGCCCTGCGCGGGCCGGGTGTCCCCACCTGTCAACGCGAGGCGGGGGCCTAGGCCGCCCCCACGACCCCGACAGCCCCGGCCCGGTGACCTCAGCACCAAACTCCCGGACTGCCCCTGCCACCGGGACAGGCGCGGCCCAGACAGAGGCCACCGAGGCCCCGGCCTCTCCGAGGACGCTGGGAAAGGGGCGAGGGGGTCCGCGTCCCTCCACGTGGCGGGACGAGGGGCGGCGCACGTGCGGTCCCCTCCGTGCCGGGCACCCGGGACCGGCCTCCCGCTTTGTCTAAATCCGGGCGGTGGTCCCCGCCGCGGGAGGACGAGGGCGTACGGGGCTGCGGCGGCGGCGTCCCCCGCTCGGCCCRGCCCGGCCCGGCCCTCGCCCGCTCACCTGGGCTCCGCGCCACCGCCTCCCGCGCTCAGCGCCCCCGGCTGGGCTCCGCTCGGCTCCGCTTGCTCGGCGCAGCGGCGCGCTCCTCTCCGCTGCCCGGGCTGGCGGGGCGGGGCGGGGGCGGAGGAGCCGCCCGGCCTGTGCGCGGGCGCGGCGCCGCCTCGGGCTGCGAGCCGATTGGCCGCGGCCGCTGGAGTCCTGCGCGGGCCGCGCGCCCGCCGCTGGGCCACGCGCGGGGAGCGGAGGGGAGGGCTGAGGCAGAGGGGAGCGGAGCGAGGGGAGGCCCGCCGCGGAATCGGCCGGTGGCGCCGCGGGAGCGCGGAGAGGCTAGCCCGGAGCTCCGGCGCGCGGCGCTGCCACCTTGCCCCCGCCCGCAGCGCGCACCTTCCCGGGTCGCCCCTCCGAGACCGCGGCCCCCTGGGCCAGCGGGGTGCGCCCCCAGCGCTCGCTGTGTTCAGCCAAGCGCCCGGACCGCAGGGCGGCGGCCACGTGTCAGGAAGTTTCCCCAGCCCGCGGGGAGACCCAGGGTCCTGCCCTGCGGCCTGGCACTAGGCGCCGGACGATGGATGCGGCCCGGGTTTCGGGGCCCACCCACCCACTGGGGAAGCCCCTTTCCGCAGCCGCCTCAAARCCCACCAGTGCTCCCAGGCCGGCCCTAAAGGCTGAGGGACGTTCTCTCCTAATCCCACTCCACCCGGATGCACCAACTCCAGGCAACCGTTGAAGTCCTGGTTTTTCCACGAGACTATTTAGAAATGATTGTGAAACACATTCTCTTCCCATCCACTCTCCCCTTTGTGGTGCCCGACTTTGCTGGAACCTTAAATGTGTGTTTAATCTCCCAGCTGGGTAACAGCAGGGCCAGGAGAAGACAGCGGGTGGGACTTCATGGGATCCCTGGCCCGCTGGCCTTGGGAGATCTGGCAACCCTGGCGATCCTGCCGAACAGCCGAAAGGGAAATCAAGAATTGGGTTCAAGCAGGGCGCGGTGGCGCACGCCTGTAATCCCAGCGGCTCTGGAGGCTTGTGGGTTCAAAACCAGCCTCAGCAAAGGCGAGGCGCTAAGCAATTCGGTGACACCCTGTTTTTTCTAAATAAAATAATAAGTAAAATACAAAATAGGGCTGGGGATGTGGCTCCGTGGTTGAGTGCTCCAGAGTTCAATTCCCGATACAAAAAAAAAAAAAAATTGAGTTCAGAGGAGAGTCGAGCACAAACTAAAGGTTCAATGCTCTCTTGACAAGTGGATGGATTTCCAGACCCCTTCTGTTAAGCTTCTCTGGTATTTCTAGGCTGCACAGACACACACACAAAAAAAATTCCAAAGAGATGACAAAGATTCCAACAAGCCTTCCAATGAGATAACCACTTCTTCTGATGCACTTGTTGGTAAGAGCAAAAACCTGGCCACAACCTCCTGCATGTGAATTCTAAGGAATGAATAAACTTCTTATAGTCATTTGGTGGCATACTACAGTTAAAAGGAGTGTGTTAGACTTATCTGTGCCAACAGGAAGAGAGCACACACACCAAAAAAAAAAAAAAAAAAAACCACACAATGTTGAGTACAAGAGCAAACTACAGAATACAATATGATGTCACAGCTAGGTGGCCTGTGCCTGTAATCCCAGAGGCTCCAGAGGGTGAGGCAGGAGTTCAAAGTCAGCCTCAGCAAAAGCAAGGCCCTAAGCAACTGGGTGGGGACCCTGTCTCTAAATAAAATACAAAATAGGGCTGGGGATGTGGCTCTATGGTGGAGTGCCCCTGAGTTCAATCCCCAGTACCCCCCCMAAAAAAATACGGTATGATGCACAATTTATGTATATATTTTTTAAACCCACACTGTGTTGTTTATGTACATATGCTTACATACAAGATTTTTTTTTTGAGAGAGAGAGAGAGAATTTTTTTTTATATTTATTTTTTAGTTTTCAGCAGACACAACATCTTTGTTTGTATGTGGTGCTGAGAATCGAACCCGGGCCACACGCATGCCAGGTGAGCATGCTACCGCTTGAGCCACATCCCCAGCCCAAGCAAGATTTTCTTGAAAGACAAAAGGAATGAATATTAAATTCATGACAGTCTGCCACAAAGAAGGAAGTACAGTACTGGGGTTGTCACTTAGTGGTCGGACTCTTATGCAGAAGGCCCTGGATTTGATCCCCAGCACCAAAAAATAAAAAAGGTGGCAGGGGGACAGAGAATGGGACAGGGAGTGTGAGGAACATTGTTAAGTTTCATTCCTTTAATTTATAAATGCATATGAAACAAATGACAAAATATTACCAACAATCAGTTCTGAATGGTGAATGCATAATTCTGTATTTTTATTTTTATTTTTTATTTTTTGGTACTGAAGATTGAGCCCAGGATGCTTAATCATTGAGCCACATCCTCAGCCCTTTTTATTTTATTTAGAGACAGGGTCTCACTAAGTTGTTTAGGGCCTCCCTAAGCTGCTGAGGCTGGCTTTGAACTTGAGATCCCCCTGCTCAGCCTCCTGAGCTTCTGGGATTACAGGCATGTGCCATTATGCACAGCTTATTTTTCAGGAGACAGGGCCTTGCTAAATTGCCCAGGTTGGCCTCATGTTTGAGGTTCTACCACGCGGCCTGCGCAGTGGTTTCATTAATGAGGTTCTAGGCATAAAGTTAGTTAGACGAGATCGAAATAAAAACACAAGACTCAATTACCTTAATTCTATTGCTAGGTCCGAGACGGCTCCCCTCTCTGGTTCGCTCCTCTAGCCGCCCAGCAGGGCAGCAAGGATTACTCAGGGCTAGCAGGAGAGAGARAGCGAGCACGCCGGGGAGTAGCCTTTTATTAGGGAACCAGAGATTCAGGGGAGAATTCCATCCAATGAAGGTTGAGGGGGGGCTGCACTCCAAGGTCAGGGTCAGCGATTGGGTCCCCGGGGTCAGTGGTCAGGCACACCCCCACACGGATGGGCTCTCTCATCAGGAGAGGGACGGGAAAAACTTCGACATTTGCCAAAGTGCCTCAGACCCTCAACGGGAGGCACCCGATCACGTGTGAGAATGGCGTCCCACATGAGGTGTTCCTGCCTCAGCTCCTAAGTCGCTGGAATGACAGGTGTGCACAACCACAACTGGCCATGTGTGTGTGTGTGTGTGTGTGTGTATGTATGATTTTTTTCCCAAAAAGTATGTGTTAGGGCTGGTGGGGAATTCCAACCCTTGGAACATTTATAACTAAGGTAGAGATCAGCAAACCCTTTTCTGTAAAGAGCAGATAGGAAGTATTTCGGGCTTGCAGGCCATATCCAAGGAAATGGCTCAACTAACAGCCACAGATAGTGGTACATGAAGAGGTATAATGGGGTYCCAATAAARCTTTATTTATAAATGCTGAAAGTTGAATTTTACATAATTTTCACGTCATAAAATATTACTATTTTGGAAAGAAAAAAAGTAAAGAATTTACTGTTTTGGTTTTCAACCATTTAAAAATGTAAAAACCATTATTAGCTGGTCTTAAAAAAAAAAAAATGAGTGGTGTGCCAGATTTGGACCATGGGCAAGAAATACTTTGGCAACCATACTTAACCAAAATAGATTGTGGTGTCTTTTCCTGTTATTTGTTAAAATATACAATTCCAGGGGCTGGGGATGTGGCTCAAGCGGTAGCTCGCTCGCCTGGCATGCGTGCGGCCCGGGTTCGATCCTCAGCACCACATACAGACAAAGATGTTGTGTCCGCCAAATACTAAAAAAAAAAATAAATAAACGTTAAAATTCTCTCTCTCTCTCTCTCTCTCTCTCTCTCTCTCGCTCGCTCTCTCTCTCACTCTTTCTTTAAAAAAAAAATATACAATTCCATGTATTTACATTATGTTACTAAATGTCCTATGTTTCATTTCAACACTGTAGCTAACAGGCAAGAATATATCTGTATAAACTTAAAAACCAAGTAAGAAAGGATAAAAAGTGCAGGTAAGAATTTAAACCCGAGTCCAAGATTCATTTCCTCTTTGAAGTCTCCTGAAATGTTATGACCCAGGCCCTCCTTGACTTCTCTGTCTCTCTGATCTACTGAGTTAAAGACTGTACCATTTATTTAATGCTCAGCTACCATCTTGATTCTTTCCTTCTTGACTTGTGTTTTTGTTTCTTTGTAGTGCTGGGGTTGGAACCCAGGGCCTCTGCATGCTAGGCAAGTGTACTACGACTGAGCTGCACCTCCAATCTCACTCGGGGTTCTGACTTGCCAATAGAGCTATAAAAATCTGGCATCTAGGCAGGTACAATACCCAAAACATTTGTTTGCTGTCAACATTGTGATTGAAAGGTGTGATTTGGGAGTCAGACAGACAAACTCAGTTCAAATCCCAGATCCATTAGTTACCAGCTCTGTGAGTTTGGGCAAGTGAGTTGATCTCTCCCAGGTTGGTTTCATCTGCTGTCAAATGGGGATAATAATAGTACCTAACTCACAGGCTTGGCATGGGGTTTATTTTTTTTATTTTATTTATTTTTTTAAATATATTTTTTTAGAGAGAGAGAGAGAGAGAGAGAGAGAGAGAGAGAGAGAGAGAGAGAGAGAATCTTTTTTTTTTTTTAATATTTATTCTTTAGTTTTCAGCGGACACAACATCCTTGTTTGTACGTGGTGCTGAGGACCGAACCAGGGCCGCACGCATGCCAGGCAAGCGCACCACCACCTGAGCCACATCCCCAGCCCTTGGCATGGGGTTTAAATACCAATAATGTGTGTAAAGATATTAGCTCAGGGGCTAGCACATAAGTGCTCAATGCTGCTATTAATATACTTAGCACAGGGCTAAAAATCCCATCAATTTATGTGCCTTTTTATTAAAGTGAATTAGAACAAAGTACAGAACATCATAATTGCCTGTCATTGACATTGAGCCCCTCTTAGGATAGGAATCATCCCACACAAAGAAACCATTTTCTTCTTAGAGATAGGATAATAAAAATTAGCTTTGCTTTTTGGGTCTCCCCCTCCAAGAATACCAGAAAACCCTATTCTAGGCAAACAGATCTTGTTGTCCTGACAACATAGATTGTCAAGAAAATAAGTAAACAAAGCTTCTGAATGT